GGAAAGAGCCAGCAGCCCGGGCTGCTTCCAAACTCTGCTTCCCAGCATCATGCCTAATAAGGGGGGCAGATTTGGGATTCGGGATTCGGGGGAATGCAGGCTCTGCAGCACGCTCCCCTCTTCGAGGAGCGAACGTGTGCATCGGCAGGGCTTCTCCCCAAAGGCTTTCCCAGAATGTGGGCGGAGGAGTGGCTCATCTCTCCCTTTCCATGAAACCTGGCAGCCGCTGAATAGCTGCCATCACCCGCAGCAGACAATGAGCAAAGCGAGCCCGGGGCCAGCTGCAGCACCGGGAGGCAGAGGAACTGCGGGGAGCTGGCCGGTGACCAGGAAGCAGCCCAGACTGCTGGTGTCATGGACCCCTTGGTAACCATAAAGCGGCTGGCCGTGCTTTGTCTTGCCCCAAGGGCCTGGCTTCCTGCAGCCACACCAGCTTTGCTCAGCGGCTTCTCTGAAGCCGGCCTAGAGGGACGGGCCCCGGCATCACCGGCCAGCATGCCACATGCCCTCTGAGCGGTGACAGTGTCACAGCCAACACCGGTGCGGTGCCACCAAGCTTTCCGAACCACCGGTGCCTTTGGTGGCACTAAGCAAAGCCAACGCCTTTCCCAGGTATGGAGGCCCAACACACCATTAGCAGTGCTGGGGCTGGCACCTCCTGTCCAGCCCCGCACTGCACTACCTCGTCCCTCGCTGGGGCTTGTTTTCCTACATGACATGCAGCGACTTCCCACACTTCCCTCGCCTCTTCCTGACCAGCCTGGCCTTTGAACCGGCTTCTCCAGCTGCTTGCATCCCGAGAGGAGACCAGGGGAACTGCCATAGATGAACGAAGCAACAAGTGAAGTTCCATATCCAGGGGAGGTGATGAACGCCAGCTTCCCATGCCTCTCCCAGGGGCCAGGAAGGGTGAGGGACACCCCAGCCTGGGCTGCTTCCACAGTGAGCCCTAGAAAACCCCTCCTGCTTCCAAACCTTGGTCTCTATTTTTGAGGCTCCATAAAGGAGGGGGGCATGAATGGCAAACTTGCTGTCAGAAGATGGTCCTGAGCCAGATTCAGAACCACCTACTCGTTTCCCGTAGGGAGCGTGGACTCTGTCAGTACTGCAAGGGTCTGGCTATGGGCTCGGGCTGCCTGTGGGTGCTGTGCTGACATGAGGATGAGCCAGCAGCCGCTCTCCAGGCAGACAGGCACACGTACATGCGGGCTGCTGAGCAAGAAGCTGCATCAAATCCTTCACTAACCTGAGGTGCTGAATCCATCCTATAACTCCCCGTAGCAAGCCCTTGGCCACCCAGGCGGTTGCAGTAGCCATGCTTCCCTGAGGATGACCAGTTTAGGGGACAGTTGTTACCAGGGTCATCAGCAAAGACCAGCAGAACACGTGCCCTAATACCTGCAGTGTCAGCTGTGAATTTTAAGCATGCTAAAACTGCCGATGACTCAGGCAATGTGTGCGTGCGCCTCCAGACCCACAGAGCTGAGCTGTCCAACTATTCACATACCTGCTTTTGATCACCAGCTGTTTGTTTGGGTTTTTTGTCTTCTTTCCCTAGAAGCTTGAGTTTTCAGCTTGTGCATTCAGCACGCAGCTCAGCCCACCACTTCCATCCCCTTCACTTACTAAGTGACCTACTTTCTCCCCTGTAGCACACAGAAAACACTGGTTTGGGCTCCCTCAGCCCTTCAGCAGATTCACTCCTGCCCCCTTACAGCCCAGCCTCCACACAAGGGCTCTAAGAGTTTTGGGCTTGAGTTGACCCCTCCAATTTTGTCTCAGATCTTTTAGCATAGACTTTCTAAGAGCAGCCAGTCACACCAAAGATACCTTTGGTGCATCTTCCTCCTTAAGATTGTGGTCATGTGCCCCCTCCTGCCATGCACCATGCCATCCTCATCTCAGTCACTCATGCTCAACAAGTGGCTTAGGCACACAGCGACAACCCTACGGTGCCTCTGCCCACGGCACCTATCCAGTCCTCACAGCCTATGCTGTCCTGACAGCCTGCTGTTGCTCCTCTCTCTGCTGGCTCTCTCCTGATGGCTCCTTCCCTTCGCCTGCACTGAGTGTGAGCAGCTCACTGCTTACCCGGGTGTTGCAGACAAGTCCAATTACTAGAGTTCAGCAAACTTTGATTCCATTCCTTGGCATTTCATCCAGCCCACTTATCCACCGAGAGTTTCTAATCCAAACAGCCTCCCAGCACACGATGTTCCTGTGCTCCCAGGCTCTACCCAGCCTCCATCCTGCCTTTTCCTCCCTCACACAAGCACTTGGAAGGATAACATTCAGCCCCTGGGGATGCAGAATTCACTGGGTGGAGGGAAGCAGTGTCTCCAGCAGCCATCCCTGCTGGCACAGAGCAGGACACTGTCCTGGCCAGGCTGGCAGCTCTCCGAGGAGATGAGCCAGACTTCAGCTCCTCTGCAGGCTCAGAAAACGTGCTGCCTTGCTCGGCCAGCCAGCTCATCCCTGCTCAGCTCTTTTGCCCACAGCGCCAGCACCGGCTGCAGTGTGTCAGCCTCCTCCCTTGCTCACACACCAGCTGGGAAGCCACAGAGGCCAACTCTGCCCCAGGGGACCCGGATATACCCGGGAAGGGAAGGGAAGCATGCTGTGCAGGAGTCAGCTGCCTGTGGCCACTGCAGGAGGGGGGGGTCGCACTCCATAACACCAAGCAGCTGAGGACCACCAGGTGAGTCTCCTTCCAGCTGCCCAATGGTGCACACACACATACCCCCCCCACCCCATTGCCTCTGCCACAGCGACCATGTCAGCACTCCAGGCAAGATTTCAGCTCAGGACACCAACATGCATCTTTCCAGCTGCCTTCCCCACTTGCCCCATGCTCCCCACAGTACCACTCCTCGTCTCCACTCCTCTTGAGCCCTCTTGGACACTCCTTGCTTAGCTCACTGGGTTCTGGTGGCAGCTGCTGGCTAGTAACAACCAGATGTCTTGTAACCACAGTCCCTCCGAGCAGCCAGAGCCTGGAATTTGCCTTTCAGCTCTCCAGAGAGCCACAGGTTCTGGCTCAGCCCAGTTACGCAGGGCTAATAGCGCCTGAAATCCCCATTCAGAAGCTTTCATTCATGAAATACAAGGCAGCAGACAGAGTGCAGGACTCTGCCCCGAGGGACATCGGACTGCCAGCTGTCTTTGGCTGGCTGTGGCAGCAGTGCCCAGCAGAAAGTGCTGTGGGGACAGGGCAGGAACAGTGTGAGCAGGGAAAAATCTCTGCAGTCAGGCCAGCCCCTGAGAAGAAACTGGCCCACATTAGTTACTGGGACCAGAGCAGGGAATGTAAACAGCCCAGCATCCACAAGGAGGTCATAACCTCAGAGTCCGGTTTCCCTTCCTCTTCTCCCTCCTGCCTAATCTCCCGGAGCTGCTCTGTTTACTACCCAGACAAGTAAACAAGCAAAGGAAAGCTCTGAAGCAATGATTTTTAATTTATTTTATTTTGCCAGTTGACTGCATGCCCCGATCCCAGGGCGGGTCCCCCAGAGTGGGACCAGGCTCTGCACCCCATGGCAGCCGGCACACAGCCACGCACAGGCAGAGCCGGCAGTGGACGCAGGAAGCACACCCCTGCCTTGCCTGCAATGAGCTGCACAGAGGAGCAAAGAGGGAACTGTGTTACCCTGCTCAAATGCAGGGTTGGGCAGACCTTGCTCCAGGGAGCCTCCAATTCACGCAAGATGGAAGAAGACAGATCCCTAAAGCTGGGGAGGAGCGGGAAGAGAAGGCAGCAGGGAACAAGGATGTGTCTGGTCAGCACAGTGGGGCCCAGCACAGCCAAACCACCAGCAGGTCAAATGCTGTAACCCTCTGAGTCTCTCCAAAGGCAAAGGACGAGACAAGCTCACCAAGGAGGGAAACTGACTTCCAGCCAGGGCAGCAGCAACCCCCAAATCACACCCAGGCAAGCCCAGACAAGTGGCTTTTCACCAGGTGTTAGAGGGATGCAATGAGCTTTCTTTCCCAGGCTATCAGGGTCTCTGACTTCCAGGCATGCAGTGGCACTTGGGGAAGTGGCAGGAGAAGAGACGTGTGGAAGGGCTCTCAGTCCAGCCCAGGCTTTGGGTGACAAATCACATCAGTGCATCCTTGAGACCCTGTGCACCAGGGTATCTTGGTATCTTGTTGAGACCCAGTAGGCCCTGGGTGGCAGCTGCCTGCAGGGCAAGTCCCCAGAGCATCAGGCAAAGTACAAAAAGGACGCGATGAGCACCCAAGGCTCTACAGGCTCCTGCGTGAAGCACCCACTGAAAGCTTCCAGCATAAACCAGTCTGCTTTGATTTCCTAATCTAAAACAACAGGACACAGAGCAGAGACACGGAGTAAAGCAGCACCGCAGTGAGAATTCCGTGGCTCCTGCCTGCTCCCTGAACACAGAGCTCCAGGAACTAGATACAAAGGAGCTACATTCCTGCCTTATCCAGGGCCGGTTCTGGCTCTGCCAGCATGAACAATTGGACTGCCAGGAACTGCGCCTTTCCCACCCCGTTTGCTTTGGCTCTTTGTGTCTAGAACACCGCACGGTCCAAAGTAAATTACTGCACAAGGATGGGCTCTCCCTGCTGCTCCGCAGAGCCGGCTGGCTCCTCCCGTACTGCCCAGCATACTGACGCTGCGTTCCCTGCCGCAGACTCTCCGTGGCGCCGGCCCGCAGCGCTGTCCTGCAGGGAGGCGTCACCGGCGGCGTGCAGGCTAGGCGCGCGGAGCTGAGCGGCCCGGCACACGCCTCCCGAGCTGTGCCCGGAGTCACGCCGGGCCCGGCGCCCACCCCGGGGGCACGTCCCTGGGGAAGCCTCCCGCGCCCATCGGCTCCCGCACCCGCACCCCGACAGACCCAGCCCCGAGCGCGGCCACCGCCAGCCCCGCCGAGCCGCGGCCCGCAGCCGACCGCACTTCTCATTGGCAGTGCTGCCTCCGGAGGGTGGGAGCACGTCGGAGGCTCCGCCAATGGGGAAGCGGCGCGGCGGAAGCGGTACAGCGCGGCGGAGCGTAGCGTAGCTTTCTCGTAGAGCTGCCGCCATGCCGGGTGCCGCTGAGCGCGGCTCGGAGCTGTCCGAGCAGATCGAGGCCTTCGTGGCGCGGCTGCGGGGCGGCGGGGAGCGGCCGCGCTCCGAGGACACTGCACGGCAGACGCTGTCGCTGCTACGGAAGATCATCGCTCACGGGCGATGGAGCCGGGCCGGTGAGGGCCGCGCTGCGGCGCGCGCTTCTCCCCGGCAGCGGGAGCAGCGCGGAGGCAGAGGCCGGCGGCGGGGATGGGCTTTGGAGGGCGGGGAGGCCTCGAGGCCGTCGAGCCGCGCTGCTGCAGAGCCCGGCGCGCCGGTCGCGGCCGTCAGCTGCGGGAGAGCAGCAAAGCGGAGCGGCCCGGGGAAGCGGGGTCTGGGTTCCCAGTGCTTGTCCTGCCGCACCGCAGCCGTCTGCAGCCTGCCTCGCTTCCCGGCGGCGCTGGGCGAGGAACTGGGCCACTGGAACAGCCGTGCGCTCCCCTGAGGAGCGTCCGCCCCAGCGCTGGCTGTTCCAGCAGCCGTCAGTTTCCTTTCACTGACCCTGCTTATGGGCTTCTGTAAGTTCAGAGGCTGTGTCGCGTCCATGTGACTCATGAGCAGAAAACCCAGCGGAACGAGCTGCTCTGCAGGTGGCTTCTTGCTCCTGCCTCCGTGCTCTTTCTGGGGGTTGTGTTCCCAGCACCAGAGCCAGCCTCAGCCATTGGGCTGTTGTGGGGTGGGTGCGCTGGTTTGACACTTGCTCTGGGTAGCAGTAACCAAGGCCCCCCCCTCTTTCAGGGGAGCTCATGGAACTGATCCGGACAGAGGGCCAGAGAATGACAGCAGCCCAGCCATCTGAGACAACTGTGGGCAACATGGTGCGACGAGTGCTGAAGGTTATTCGAGAGGAGTATGGCAGGTGAAGCACCCTTCTCTTGCTGCCTGTACCCCTCCAAGGAGCTCAGAACAGCCCTTCCGTGCAGTGTTCTGCTGCTTCTGTGAGACCCCTTTGGTTTCCATCACTCCCGTTTCCAACTCTCCTGTAGGGGGGTTCGGTGAGTTTGACATCAAAGGAAACCAGTCATTCTCAGCGTAGCAGATGACACTTCCTCTGGTGAAACTCTGCTTGGCATGTGTGTTGCGAGTGCATGAGAACAGTATGTGCCCTGACCTTGGGAGGGTCCATCCTACTGGAGCAGCAGCTTTGATCCTGCGCCTTACCTATGGGCTGCAGTGTTTGCACACAGTTTAGGAAGGTGCTTTCTGGCAGAGCTTCAGTGCCTGTCTGCCAGAGACAGATAGGGAAGCTCTGTGGCGTGATGTGCCTGCTGTGCCTGGTTTTCATTCCTCTCTGGTCACATCCAGCTGTGCTGTGGGGATTGTACTCCATCTGGCCATGCCCCTGTGCTCTCTCCCAAGGCTCAAGGGCTGCTTCTCCCCGCAGGCTTCATGGGCGCAGTGAGGAAAGCGACCAGCAAGAATCCCTACACAAGCTCCTGACCTCTGGAGGACTGAGCGAGGATTTCAGCACCCCTTATCCCCCCCTCAGAGCTAATGTTATTGAAGCTATTAACGAGCTACTAATAGAGCTAGGTAGGGATGGGTCTGAACTGCCCCAGGAGTGGAGTTTCTGTGGGATAGGACTGATGCTTCCGCCTCCTCTTAGGTGGAAATTAAACAGCAAGGTTCTGGGAGGCTTAATCTGAAGAAACTAAGAAATAGAAGTCCTGCTGCTCCCTGGACTAATACTAAATCCTCTTTGGCTTGCAGGGAGATGGGTGGGACATTGTGGAGGGTAAGTTAGCATGTGCTCTTGGTCTTCTGGGAAGTCTTAAATTGACTTCTCTGAAAAAGAGTATCAAAAATATGCCAAGGTTGGACTTAATCCATGGGCATGTGACCTGGCCCTTGTCACAAAGCATGGTGATACGTTCTTCTGTGATCCTGTGATAGATCAGGCACCTGACCCTTCTTCTGGGGAGGCCTAGGTTGCTCTGCTTCTCCTTTCTATGTGGTTCTGGTGCTACTGAACTGTAAAATCACTGAGTTTCTGCCACTAGTTGTGTGGGCATGGTGCTGTCTGGAGCAGCACTAACACAGTCCACCCCCCTCATTCAGTACAGCTGTTTCTATGAATAGCTAGGGAGCATGGGGCATTGAAGGGCCAGCTTTGTGGTCCCTCTCCACTGGTAAAAAGAACAAGGAGAAAAGCTGCTCTGGCTCTACCAGTGCTTATAGCATTGCTTTAGTCAAAAATGATCTTGCAGGACAGCTCTAGCAGCACCAGTGTTGCTTTTCCTGGCTGCTTTTCCATCCATGGCTTAATTCTGTTACAGAGGGCACCACTGATAACATTGCTATGCAGGCGCTGGAGCACATCCACTCCAATGAGGTGATCATGACTATTGGCTACTCACGCACTGTTGAGGCGTTCCTGAAGGAAGCTGCTCGCAAGAGGAAGTTCCAGGTCATTGTAGCGGAGTGCGCGCCCTTTTGCCAGGTAAGGCCCAGGCTGGCTGTCTTCAGGTGCTCCGCTGTGCCATGTGTTCTTACTGAGCTCTTGTCTCTGGAGGCAAGCTGAGCATTATGGAAGTTCTTCTGCAGTTGAGAGACTGAAGACCACTCGTTGGCCTACCCCGTGTCCATCAGGGAAAGGGCTCTGTTTGTGCTATCACTCACTATTTTTGCAGTTCAGACAAGAATTGAGTGCTAATGTCTCTACAGCTGCGCTGCAGGAGCTGTGTCCAGGGGACCAATTGGATTCTTTCTCTTTTTAGGGTCATGAAATGGCTGTCCGACTGTCTAAAGAGAACATTGAAACTACTGTCATGAGTGATGCAGCTATTTTTGCTGTCATGTCCCGAGTCAATAAGGTAAGAAGCAATCCATTGGAGGAGGGAGTTCACAGCAGGCTGGGTACTTGGGAATCCCAAACCAGCTGCAGGTCCCAGCAGTGATGGATGCATTTCTTCACTGAAGACTCAAAATTGTAATAGGCCCTGCTTACAGCTGAGGTGGAGATTCAGTGTGGAAGCCTGAGTCAGTATGATGGTGACTAACTGCATGCTGGTAGATTTTTCTGCCTTAGTGGCTAACAGGCAGCACAGTTACAAGACACTAAGCCACAAAAGCCTCAAAGGATTAGCCTCAGTTTCTAAAGAAAATAGAACAAGAAGCAGCATTTCCAAAGGGGAGAAACCCGTTGCCTGGAATACAAGATGGGTGGTGAAGGGAATCACCAAAGTGTGCCTTTTTGAACAGACCTCTCTTCTGTACTTTTAGAGATGAAAACTTGGCACCCCAAACTAAAACAAAACAAAAAAAACAAAGAAAAAAAAACAAACCTGCCAACCACCACCAACCAAAAAGGTACTTGTAACATAATAAAATCCAGCCACACCATTTTACATTGAGATTGCAGCCAGCAGTCAAGTTACTTGCACAAAGCTTACTTTTGCAGGCTTGTAAAACAGGAGGGAACACAACCCAGTTTCTGCTTGGTGTTCCCTGCAGTAGAACATACATTTGTCCTCTCAAGTTTTCTGTGCTGGCCTCACCATGCTGGAGTCATGCTGTTGTTAGAGGGGAACACCTCGGTGCAGAGCCAGTGCCAGATGAAACAGATGAGGCATCCAGCTGCCCTGTAACTCCAGCCGCTGGCTGGCTGGCTGTTCTGACAGACTCCTCCTCCAGCTCATCCGGCAGCATCCAAGCCAGGAAGCTTTCCTTCCCCAGTTTGCTGTGGAACATGTTAGCTAATGCTGATTTGCCTTTTAAGGTCATCATTGGTACAAAGACAATCCTGGCCAACGGCGCCCTGATTGCTGTGAGTGGGACACACACTCTGGCACTGGCAGCTAAGCACCATTCCACTCCGCTCATCGTGTGTGCCCCCATGTTCAAGCTTTCACCACAGGTATGTACAGCAGCTCTGCAGGACTGCACCTGCTCTACATAAAGATGGGGGTGATTTTATGCTTATGGGATATTACGTTGGAGAGCACCATCTGTCCCAAGGTGAGGTTGGTAAATGTGCCATCTCCCACATGGAGTGCTGCTACTTCAGAGAGGAGATTGTCACCTGTATCTGGCACACCTCAGGATCTCCTTGAAGCACCCTCCTCTGCCACACATGTTGAGTAAGCAGTGCATTGGGTATAAGGATGTAGACCACTGCCTAGTAGAGACTGACATCACCATACTTACTGTTCTTCAGCCACAATGGATTTCAGTTTCCATGTTCAGCATTGAAAGACCCTGTGTACTGACAGAGGTGGTAGAGATAGAAATGCTCTAAACTGTTTCTTACACTCGGTACTTTCTCAGTATTGTCAGGTGAAATTGCAGATGAGGAAGTCACTTCTTTGCTCCAGTTCCCTAGGCTTTGCAGAAGGGCAGCCAGGTCATAGAAAGCTCTAAAAGCCCTGAGGAAAAACCTTTCACTTGTAGATGTTACAGAGGTTCTAGGCACAGGAGCTATGTAATCATTGTAGACAGATGTAGTGTCACCTGGCAAGTCATCTTCCTCTGCTTTAGTTCCTTCCAGCACCTAGGATATGTTTTCACTAGGATAACGAAGTGGTCTCCTTTTCATGACCTTTCTGTACTCTTTCTCCTTCAGTTCCCTAATGAAGAAGATTCATTCTACAAGTTTGTGTCACCACAGGAAGTGCTGCCATTCACAGAAGGTACTATAACTTTTAATTTTTTTTTTTCTGTAATAGGATCATAGAATGGTTTGGGTTGGAAAGGACCTTATCTAGTTCTAACCCTCCTGCCGTTGGCAGGGACACTCTCCACTAGACCCTCACACAAATTTAAACGTAAGACTGTCCTTTAGCCCAAGACAGAAAATCCTTTCCTATTTTCTTACACAGGAAAAAAAGATGTTGGGAACCATTCTGTTTTATATGTAAGTTTCTATTACAGAAAGTACAGAAAAAGGATTTCCTTTGAACACTATCTTTGCACTTTTGCTTCTGCTCTGAAATAGTGGTTTATTATAGGATTGTGACAATGGTGCCAGGCAGTTTCCTGTGGGACAGAACAGATGCCCAACAATGAAGGTTTCTGTTCCTTCCTACAACTCATGCTAACTTCTTGAAAGTTGGTTATAAGAAACTTGGTTATGAGATACTGGGTTGAAACCCAGTATCTTTGCAGTGGGCTTCCACACAAGCACCGTTTTTAGAAAGGCATCAGCTCCCAAGCCTGTTTTCAGACAGCAGTCTCTTTCAGAGCCCCATTTCTATGTGACAGAGACTTCTGAAATTAACATACCAGGTTTGGCAAAGGTTTTCTGGTTCAGACTTCTGAGCTTTTCTTTAAAGAATAACTTTGGCAGCATTGGGATTCTTGTGTTTTGATTACATACTGGCATTTCTTTTGGCAGTTAGTAAATTGGGAGGATCTGGAGTTTTTATCAGTAAAACCTATCAAAAGAAGTGCTGCCATCCACCCAAGGTTGCTGTGTACCTGTAATTCAGTGACATCAGTGAGGAAGTTGGAAAGTATTCAGGAAATTCCATCACTGACGGCAGGGTGGCATATGCATAGCCAGTTTCTTCAGGGACTCGGGAAGATGTGCAGAAGACTGAACGCTCCTTTGAGTTGTTCTGCCTAATGTTGCTGCTGTTCACTTTACAGGGGAGATCCTGGCAAAGATAAACGTTCACTGCCCAGTGTTTGACTACGTCCCTCCAGAGCTCATTACTCTCTTCATTTCTAACATTGGGGGTAACGCACCTTCCTACATCTACCGCCTCATGAGTGAGCTCTACCATCCAGATGACTATGAACTCTAATGCCACAAAGCATGTCAGTCTCCAGACTCTTCCTATCTTTCTCTTTAGAAAGATGATACAACAGCTAATTAAAGTGTACATTGCAAAGATGTGTTGCTGTGAGGAATTTGCTCAGCAATGTCCTTCCTACCCAAAAGCAACAAAGGCAGAACTCTTACACAGATTTTGATCTGTGCTGTGTTAAAAGCCATGTGGAGCTCCAAAAACCCACTTCCATTTTGAAACAGCAAGGCCTATGTGTAACTGGAGCATCTAACCTGTTACTTCAAAATATGCTGTGATAAAGGTTGTTTACAGTGTTTAGCATATTTTCCCTATTTGTTTCTTTAACTAACAGGCATTTTACCAGTGTAGTGAGTTGCCTGCACCTATGATGCAGTAGCAGGCTTTAAAGTATGCTTTCACATACGAGTGTGATATGAATTCATTGGCAATTGTCTTGAAAAGGGAATTTTTGGGTAGAGTTTTCTGACAATTTTTGGTGAGTTGCTGAAATACAGACCAGCTTTTTGTAAATGCTGGAATGGAAATTCCATTCTTGATGAAAGGCAGACCTTGAGAAGTTCCATCAGCCAGCGCGTTCACCTCTATGTTGGAAGGCGGAGCTCAAGCTCTTGATTCACTGATTGTAGTCTGGGGGTCTTTCCTCTCCTGTACTAATTGGGTGACTGCGATTAATCTTCCTAGGTGGGCATCTGGTCTTACTTGGGAAGTTTTTATTTTTGTGATAGGCAGCATGGAACATCTTTCTTAGAAATATCAGGCTCTTGCAGGTCAGTCAGATCACTTTTCCTTAGTCCCTATTATCAGTGCATGGCAATACACTACATGACAGTTAAGGCATCAGATGAAAGCAGTTTCCACTCCTTGTTTTGCTTTTGATTGAGCAGGTGTCAGTATATCTCTGATTTGGTTTTAAGTTGGATGTCTGTGATTAAACAAAGACATCATCTTTTTCCATTTTGAAATGAACTCTACTCCTCTACCTTAGACTGAGACAGTAAAAAGAACTGAACCTGTAAAAAAAAAATGTCTGCCTATTGTGAAAAATGCCATGGGCTATTTAGTTACTTCTGTGGGGTAAGTTTCTGTACCCTCAGAAGATGGGGCTGTGCTAGGATTTAGAAATCTCTTACTCAAGAATGCAAACAGCAAGGAGCTGGAGAAAATGGCTGGGTGTGTCATTCATTGCCTAGTTAAATAAAAAGAATGTTTTCTGCTCCTGAGGTGGCCTACACATACTATGAAGCTGGTCAGTCTTCATTCCAACTACTGCCATGCGCCCAAGGAAAGAGCTTTGTGTTAATTTTATTAATAAATACCTCCCCATTTTCAAAGCACTATAAAATAAAGTCTCTCTTATACAGAATCGTGCTGCATTTGCAGACAAAAAAAAAAGCACTTCAGTAACTGTGAATGGCACTGATATAAGGTGCCGGCTTATGATGCAGTTCCTCGATGTGAAGACACTTCAAGCACAAGGGTGGGCTCCTCCTGTCATGTTCTCCTGGCTGGTCTCTGCTGCTTAGGTCAGTACTTGGAGCAGAACTTCAGTGACTGCAGTGGCTCAGAAACTTGGCTCCACACAGGGCATTGAGGTCTAACAACAGGGGGCCTGGCTCATACCAACAGCAATACCAGGTGGTTACAGCTTACAGTCTGCTTTTTTTGATTAGGCTCTTTTTTTTCCAAAGAGGTGCCATGCTCGGGCCATCTTCCGCAGTCTAGCCAGGTTGGGCTTGGGCTGGAGGGAGGAAAATTAAGAAGCATTAAATCATAACCAAGTAAATGAGCTTCAATGCTTTCATACTCTTTGCCCTAATAGCGTAATTTCCAAGGGTTTTAATATCTAATTCAAAGTCCCACCTGACTTTCAAAAGAATTCAATTTCATAACTTATTATAGCACAGTAATAGCAAAAGGGAAGGAGTAATGACTTTTTTTTTTAATGTTGCTATTTTTTTCTTTTTTTTCCCCCATTTCATAGCATCTTAAACTTTGAGGAAGTAGGTGTTTGTTTAATTAGCATCTTTGTTTGCCACTAGTAGAGTATCAGAATTTATGTTTTCCAGGTTTTACACTTAAAACCTGCTAACACTTTAAGTATTTGATTAAGATTAGTGGATGCCATTTAAGTCAATGTACTATTCAAATGCAGTACAGTAAGATCCTTGCTAAAGTATTTGCAGGACAGAGGTTTTATGTCCTGAAGTTTTATTTTACAGATAACAGCTGTGTAAAATATTCAAGTAAGATAAAGCCAGTGGTGATGGTTTCAAACTGGCCCATTCTAGTTGCAACAGATGCATACATGACATGCCTCTGCTAATCCAGAGTGTGGATTATCAGAGGTATATCTGTGTCCTGCATAGTACCTGCTTGTCCTGCTGTAGATGTTCTGTGTCTGCAAGAGGCATCATGGAAGGTCTTCCGTGAGCACACTGGAAGGGAAGCTGGCAAGATGATAAAGCTTCAATAAGCCTGCAGCTCTCCTCCAAAGTCAAATGCTCATTGAACTTGATAGCGCCTGAAAAAAAGATATAAATTCTTGCAGGCGCTGCCAAAGAAGATGCAAGCCTCCAGCAGCCTTCCCTCCACACTGTGCTCTTCATAGAAAACAAGGCAGCTCCCAAAGATTACCTGGGAAGCTGCAGTATGGCAGACTTCTGGCTTAGCAAAATTAAACCAGCCTGCTGTGTAAGTATCAGCTTGCTATGGCCTAAACTTTCACCTAACCCAAGTCTGATGGATGGTAAGATTTTTTTTCTTTTTGTTTTTAATTGTGTGTGTGTTATGGCTAAAGACACAACCAGTTCACAAATTTAAGTATGAAACCAAGAGGATGGCTAACGTCAGTTCCATAGGTTTTACTGGTTCAATGGGCCAGCCCCTGACAGGCATCAGTTCCAAGATCGAATGCCAGCCCTGCCAATAAATCCTTTCTTACATGTGAGCAATTAATGGCATACAGAGGAAATCCAAACAGAATATTAAAGTGTAATTTCAGACGGTTTTGCAATCTTTAGCCTTTGCTGACACACAAGACCATCTGCCTTTCAGCCATGGGACTTTCTTAGATAAAAACATTAATATATTTAATATTTTATAGATTACCTGCCATCTGTAGGATGCATTGAAAATAGATGCTTTTGGCTTATGTTTACCCCTTCAGCATAATCTTAATACTTTATATGGCACAGGAACTGCCACAAGAGGCTAGAGCTACTGCAGTCTATACCTGTAAGAAGTGCTCACTTCCAGGTGCTGGAAAGGCATAGTCCCTTAGAAGATGTAAATTCTTACTGCAGTCCTTCCAAGAATATTTTAAAGATCCCAGGCACACTTAAACTAGTACTTTTGATACTTACATGAAATAAAAAATATTTTTTGGGTAGAGTGTCTAAGTCTTCTTTCCTGCTTGCTTTCAAGCAGATTCCAACACCTCCCCTTGCCCCTTCACAGAGCTGTTATTGGAAGGGTTCAGAACTCACATGGATGAGTGTATCTCAGAACTTTATTTGTGTTTCATGTGAGGGCTGGAAATCACATTAGGCCCATACATGGATAAATCAAAGCAGTATTGCTTGTCCCTCACAGTGCTGACCATAACATTCTCTCTTCATCACTATGTAGACATCCCTACACAGTCTGTAGTCCTGGAATTCCTGCAAAGATATTTGAAACCACTTCCCCAGGGAGGATATTGTGTAGAGAAAAAAAAGGGTTAAAAGAAAAAAAGAAAAAGTATAGTTTCCCTACCATGACAGGCCTGGGAAGCTAACACCTTCAGAAATGTCAGAGGCAGTGTCCCTCGTGTTCTTCCTCCTGTGCTCTGCACTAGCTAAAAGTAGTAAGGGAACATCATCTTACTTTCCATTTAATATAAGAAAAAGGAAGAACCGTAACACAAAGGAAATTAAAATTGAGGAAAAGCTAGTGGATTCCATCTCTCTCATTTGAGTTTTAACACACTTGGTCCCTTTGGTTCATGCAGTAAACTTTGCATTATTATAGTCAACTTGAAAAGAGAATGGCAACTCACCTCAACCTGCTCTTGAATAAGCTCCTGGAAAGAAAAAAGTAGTATCATCAGTTGCTATTTCTCTCTTTCATTACCCATACCCTGCTTTGTCCTCATCTGTGTGTAATTTACTGTGCAGCTGCCAGAACCAGGAAAAAATATGCTGTTGAGAGTACACTGACCACAGTGTGAAAGATCTAGGTGCAAGTCCTGACCTCTCACAAGTATCTTATTAAACTTTACACTAATCACTTGGTTCCTCTCTGCACAAGCTCCCTATCTGTAGAATGGGTATAACGGAACTCTTATGCAATGAATTTGTTATCTTTGAATAGCTGCACTTTCTCCTTTATATAATAGTCTATGTGGATCCAATTTCTGGTGTCTAAAATGCAATGAATTCATAATCAATCATGAATATGCCCTACTAGTCCTAATTAAAATAAAACAGACTGCAGAACAGATCTGCCAAAATGCTCAGGAGATCTTGAGGCATCAGCTAAGAATGAATGCTCGTGAGGCACAGACCTGATCCCCTCCTCCACCACTTCTAGTGCTCTTGGCTCCTAAATCACACCAAAAGAGTGAATTTTGAGTTCTTCCCAATTGTAACAAGGTTGGAAAAGAAAATGTCATCTGATGAAGCATCTTCTTTTGTTTCTTCTTTTCATATTAAAAGAGATGTATGGCAAGACTGGCCTGGTTCACAGTGGCTCAGCCTGGTGGCTGATTATGGTACTCCAGAAACAATTTTTAAGCAGTCCTTGAAGCAGTTATGATTGTGGAGAACTGTTTGCAGTGGAAACTGCAAGTAATCAGTTCAGCAATTTCTTCCTCCAACTTCAGAACATCTGGAACAGAGCTTTTAGAAAGCTGTACTGTGAATGTAGAGATTTCAGGAAAACAACTTTAAACCCTAATAAACAACATTTCTGTATCAGCAATATTAATCATTACACTGTTCATTCACGCATTCATGAGCTGTAAATTGTTGAAACATCTGTACTAGATACTCTTTTTCTCACCTTCTCCACTGTCCAAGTCTGGAACAGCTTCTTATTGCTTCTTTAGAGTTCAGGGATTTCAGTTGAAGGACTGTTTAGCTACTTAAAAGGGATGGCACCCACATTTGCCAAGGAATTTCATCCACTGTCTCCCTCATAACACAGATACTCTAATACCTTGGGCCATTAATACAGAACAAGACCCAGTAACACAATTTCACTCATATCAACAACTGACCTCTACAATGCTTTTAGTGACAGGCTGTCTTTTCCGTCGTAATTCATTGGCTTCTCTTTCTATAAAACACAGTGGCACTTTCCTCACTAGAATCAAGGACCTGTTGGTCTCAGGAAATGATAATTCAAGACCCAAGTCCTCCAGATTTTTGTAGCAGCATCTGAGGGAAAAAAAAAAAAAATCAGGAAAGAGACATTAACCACTGTAGCTCTGTTTCCATGGCATACATTTCCGTACTCCACATACATGTTTCTTTTTGTAACAGTTTCCAATCTCAAAATCCATGCATCATGAGGTTCTAGTAATTCTGCCCTTTTAACCTACATGCAGCCACATTTTTTCACTCCAGTCAACTGGTATATTTTGTATTCCACAACCACAAGATCTAAGATTTCCTGTGTTATGTGAAGAGAAACTTTATGTCTAAATTTATAAATCTATCTTTTCTAAAGATGCACGAGGGGTCTGGTTCAATACACAAACATTCCAGACACTGAAATTACACAGCAAAAAAATTCCTTTAAGTCTAACCTAAAAATTTGCGATTTCAACTGACATCAATAACAAATTCTTACATCAATTCAATAACAAATACTTACAATGAAAAAAGTATTGTAAGAAATTTTAATGAACTTTACATCCCATTAAGCAAAGAGAACCCAGGAAAGAATGACCTTTACTTAACCTGACATATCATCCTGTGGATGGAAAAATACACACAAAAACAGGACTTCACTGTCAGATGAGAACTTGCCTTCAAAATGAAAACAACTGTAACACTACATAGTTTATTAACTCAGGGAATAGTCACTTAAATTGAAGGTGCTGCAGGTCAAATCTCAGAGAACAGATTCGTTAAATAAAAAAGAAGCTAATCTACACTTACTAAAGTCAGTCGTGAGAATAATACAATTATTAGACTCCATATGGAGATGACTTGTGCAATTCCACCCCAAAAAAG